CCTACGCATGTGTTGATTGACCGAGACCATTTAATCGAGTTGTGGATTAAGGTTTATGATTTGCATGAAGAACCTTTTTTCTCCGTCGTAGGTTGTGTGGCCATGCACGAAGCATGGCTTAAACTGACTTAAAAGTGCTTCCCAATTACTCTGCGGGGAAATTGATGCTCCAATGGAAACCATCCTTGAAACTGTGAGTGGAAAATTCGAATGGTGAAGGGGTTACTAATTTTTCTCTTTTTTCCATTCTTTTTCGTTGGATAAAATGGGTTTCCCCTCGGTTTTGCTCGCATTCCTATTCTGGTACAGCGAATTGAGGAAATTGGGCGAAGTTTTCATAGGCGAACGATTTGCTCAGTTTCAATTACTATTCTAATTTCTGTAACCTTCATCCATAAGAAGTTGCCGTTCTGATTCGGTTGTTCGATATTTTGAAATTTCCACTTAAATTGAATTTGTACATTGCAGCAGTAGATAACTCTCTCCATATTCCAATTCTCTCCATTTTTGGAAATTAGCTTGTGGCGGTTTTTTCCAGCTCCTTGATGAAAATAGTGACACGGGAATTTCTCGAAGTTTATACAGTCGTCATGGTTACTGAACGTGGAAGAAAAACAAAATGAAATCCCTGCATGCACTAATGGATCATAGACAGAGGGCAGTGTTCGCAAGAGGGCACATCATAAATCCAACTCTACAATACTGCTTATGATTCGTGGTCGGCCGTCGTTTTGAACCGGACTAATTTGCCCCTAACTGTCGCCTTTGAATAACTTTTGAAAAAAAAAGTTCGATTGTATTGAAAGTAAGATCCAAGAGAGTATCGTGAATCTCCCATTTCAGTTGAAACTTCATCTCTAGTTTTCAGTAGTCCTGTAGCACTATATCCAAGGAGAACATGAAACTGTGATTGCTTGATCCCGTCATGATAAAATTTTTACAGTTTCGATCGAATAGAGTGGAATTTTATTTCCAGTAACCATCCATGTTCTAAAATCGTTTTTAAACCCAGTTATGAATTTTGTGAAATACTTCCTTTTTGGAAGCACGTCCCAGCCACCATAGGTGAGGGTTCCCTAAGCCTACTTGGGGATTTTTTTCATTTTTGCTACTTCGTTTTTGCTTATGCTAATTTTTTTTCGACCTTTGAGCTTTCATTGAATCGAGTTATAAATTTTTGTATAAGTTACCGCCCACTGCGACGATCTACTTTACTCCATTTGTCGACTCGTTGCTCAAACTGCTCATTTTTTACAGGCGTCTGAGCCGTTATGGAATTAAGTTGGGACTCCTCACTGCTTTGTATGCCCCGGCCCCTTAACGGAACTCGGCAGAACTCATGAGTGTTTTTTTTATTTTGCCCTATGCAAAAACGCAAAAGGTTTACTAAAGTGTAGGCTTTTTTTCGGAGTAAATTTTTTGGGGTAAAAAAGGAATTATTTCTTCAATTTCGAATTCGAAAAACAACGCACTGGCTAGAGGCAGGTACATAAAAAAAAACTCTCAAAGTTGAAGAGCGGCCATCTACGATTGACAGCGGCAGTTTCAAAACGAAAAGGTTCTATATTTATTACTAAAAAAGCGGAGTGTTGTAATTGCTGTGCATGCTCGCTTGAGTTTGGTCATAGGTGATGGAGCTCGTGGACTAGACAATTGTTGAATTTCGTATGCCAGGCCGTTCACTGCATTATTTCTGGGGCACTTCACAGTCTACATAACATCTAGTTGCTAAAGATTGTGCTCATCTTAGCATCGACCATAAGCGAATTCAAAGGTTTTTAGGACTATCTGGGATCATACCTGTGCAAGGTTGATTATTAGGTGCCAGTATCGTTAGGGAGTATTGGAAACCATTGTGCAAGTGTGTCGTTAAGTTGAATGATAAACTCATCTTAGGTTGTACCATCAGTACCGGTCACGTCTGTTAATGTTCCGCCTAATTCTATTTATCATCATATTACCTCCATGTAACATATTGTGGAAGTTACTGCGTTGATTTGATGATTTTTAGGTATAGAGGATTTCAAGCTGGCCTTTATGCCAATTGCCCATGTTTGTTAACTTTCGAGGATGAATCGCATCGACAAGTTTATGGTCTGAATTTTGCTTCTGTTGAGGAAGCTCAGGATTTCAAAGGACATTTGGATAAGCGCCGTGAACAAGAAGGCAAATCAGGTAACCTTTCACCTTTTTGTTACTATTCCGATTTTTAGCACTGCTTTAAAGTTGAAATTTATCAGTTGTAAGTTTTGAGAGTGTAATTGACGGCTTCTTCAAACACTCTTTGGAGAACGATTCATTTTTTCCCTATACAAATCTAAGCGGGGCGCGGTTCCCCTTTGGGTCGTCTTTCACCAAACGGTCTCATGGACAATTGCTCGTACAGTCCAGGCTCCGCCTCCGTGCGGAGCTAGTTTCAGCCTTTGCCCGCTCAGCCTCCTTCATACAATCATCTCACAAGCTATAACCAGTTCGCTAATAATGTCATTACCTGTGATTTGCTGAGCTTTACTCCTAAAGCTACCTGTTCTCTATTCTTTGTAACTTGCTATGTGGATGGTCGTCAGCGAAGATACGTTTGGTCAAGTACACTTCAGCTACAGAGACCTGCCGGGCTCATCGAGGCGAAAACCACGAAGTACTTCTGCTATGGTCACTACTTCTCAGCGTTACTCTCGAGGATGTCGTCGCTTCCCTAACCCGGACCTCCCTTTGCTTCGTCGCTCTCCACCGTATCCTACAGCTGTAATCGAAGAAGAGCGTTACGATAATGTCACACCTGAACTACAGTGGCAACTCGGTGCTGAACTCCGATATGGTGCTGAAACTCGACGATCATGTGGAGCGACACCATCATCTAACTGTCGAGCACCCACTCCACGTCCTCCGTCATCCAGCATTAATCGCTACTCGTCTTTAGGACGAGGATTCTATTACTACTCTCAGTGTGGTCCTGCCAGCCGCCCTGATAATTACGTCAGGCCGACTGAGGACAATTATTATTATCACGGCTTATCCAGTCCTGTTTCCTGCGGAGATTACGTGGTTTCATGCGTTCCAAGTCTTTCAGACAGGAATTGTTACGGAACATACTCGGAGTGTCTTCCGCTCAAGAAATCTGCGCCGTGGAGAGTTTCAAAAGGAAGAAGGGTGTCGCACACCGTCTCACACAATTCACCTGGGAGGCCGAATGGCATAAAGGATGAGAAATCTGTCATTATTCCTCCTCCAGATTACATTTCTTCAGACTGTGCTTCTGATAGCTCACAGCTGCTAACTGAGAAGGAACGGCAAGATAATACGACAGGTATGGAGTGAATAATTTAACTAACGTGAACCCGTGCCTACTTTGTTCTCCAATAATCCCTTCTTTACTCTGGGCTCAATTTTCTTCTTGGCTTTTATTTTTAGTGACCGTTCCGTACAGATTGGGGCAGGGATGACCGTGCACTTCAAGTGGCCCACTCAGCGCTCAAGTATTTTATAAGTGACGCGCGTTCACGTGAGTGGACTTTTGACTCTGTTCGCGCTATTATTCGGAATAGCCGTATTTAGCAACGGCTATAAAGTGTGAGTTCAAGTGTAGCAAAAAACTAATTACAAGCATGAACTGTCGAAGGAAATTCTTGAGATTTTGATCGTGACATGTAATGTGAGGAAGAGTTTTTTCTTGTAAAATCATTTGTTTCTGGAACTAATAGCCAGCCTAGCTGTACCGTCGTGAAAAATGGAGAAAACAGTGTCGAAGTTACTAAACGGCCTTCAAAATCTCTAGTGGAATGCTCAGCAGATATCCATCTACACGTCCTCTCGTTCATTTGTGCAATCGTGCCCTCTGTTCGCCCTTTTGAAGTGCTTTTTTCCACGGGTGAGATAGTTACTGCATCGACAATTTTTATGACTTTCTGAAGGGTGAAGTTGAAATAGAGCTATTTGTTCGCATTTGTATATGCATATATATCATTCTTTTTTGAAAAAATAGCCCCTTACAGTAGTGGCGGGGGATTTGTTAGCCTTGAATAGTCCACCCGAAATTTGTTGACCGAGTTGTAAGAAAGTGACAGCTCATGATGTCCACGAGTTTTATGTTGAACTAGGCTAGTGGGAAAATTAAGAAATCTTGTTCTGGTGAACAGTGCAGAAGAATGATGGGATTTGTTGCGAGACTGGTCTGTAATCTCTGGACATACGGTTTAGGTAGCAAATATTTCCGACAGCTGGTTGCTCCTTTTTACGCCGTGGGACTTGCATGTTAGAACCCCCATCGACATATATCCTGCATGTTACGGCTTTGCATCGGAATCGGAAGGAGGAAGTAGGTAGCAAAAAGAGTGAACAAAGGGAGCGTCGCAAAAAAAGTATAGGGTTTTTCTCGACTTTAAAGTCGTTCTCCGCGAATAGTCAAGCCATGGTGGGCTACCCTTTTCTTTGACATCAGGTGCGGTCAAGTTTCTCATAGATTTTTGATAGCTCAAGAGGTTATTAATAATCAGAAGAAGTTAGGTGTCCAGTGTCTATGCGGTGCGTAGTTGTTGCGTTCAGTTTGGCTGCTTTTTGTGAATTTGTTTTCGATTGGCGGCCAATTTCGAGTGTTCGTGTACGAAAACCTTCATGTTCCTCAGGAAAATAGATATCAACAATTGAAAGCCTAGTTCCTTGTATGCAAAGATACAAACCGGCTCCTCCACTCGCAGGACCAGCGGGGTGACGGTGCGCTGCATGACATAGACACAAATATTGGCTAACGAGCCACGCTGTTGTGTAATGGGATGGGCGAGAGTGGACGGACTTCTAGTCACTGCTAAAGTTAAGCTGATTATGTACTTGTTGATGCGGAACTTGGGCTTATATGGTTTCAGGAGTGATTTTGAAGGCTGAGCATTAACCGGTAGTGAGGTCAGACTCCACTGGGCAGCCAGTGACCTCCTCATGATAAAAAAGGAAAATGTGTTATTGGTGCTCTGCTTTCGAGGCTCTATCAGAAGCGTAGCGCTCGCCAAGACAAGCAGTGTCATGGAATTAGTTCACTGCATAGTTTCCCCGCCCCACTTCTCTACTAAAATGCTCTCAACATCTGCCTCCACATCTGAACAACTTTCAAAAATCTGCCTGTGGGTGTTTTTGGTAAAGAAGTAAGAAATCTGTCACATTCGTTAAGTCGTTAGACCCAAAGTCTTGGGGTGTTGATCAATCCCTTCTCAGGGATGCGCCCAAGCATTCGACTTCCATTCTGAATCGCAGTAACGTATTGAATGCGTATGTGGCCTATACAATGATTTGCGGTGGCCAGCCGATGTACAATTCAGTGCTTTTATCGTCTCAGACGAGTATGGTACCATTAGTCGACTCGGAGGGATGGAAAGCTTGGTTGGCATAGGCGGATATCGATCCGGGATCGAACCCGTGAACATGCATGTGTAAAGTGCGCCATTTACTACAAATTTCGAACCCAACTCAAATGTTTAACCTCCTTCGCTGCAAGTCCGCGCCAGTTTCATCATTCTGATCGCCTTCCTTAGCGGTTCTTGTGCACTTTATGTACTAAATATGAACAAGTATTGTAAACGATAACCGAATTTGCTGGGGTAAATGGGAATGTGTGCGAAAACGAGATGGGGCAACTCCTGAAAGGAGGTTCTCACTTCAGCTGCAAACTTTACTGTACAACAAACTTCTACTTTTAGTTATTCTTGATAAAACATTCATTCGGGGAAACTTCAGTTATTTTGAGAGTTGACTGTTCATTGGATCAGTTCGCTCAACTCCCAAGTGTTCCAACTTCAAATTTGGTTTTTCAGCTGCAGCAAGGAATCCTCTAGCACCTACGTTGAACACACCTTTTGCCTCGTCGGCACCGAACAGTGGCAGTCTGCATAATACTATTGTACCTGTTTCTGGTGGAGTTACTCCAATGGGCACGATGGTGCATGCTGAGAAAGTTACCACAACGGGAAGTACAGGCGGATTCTTCTCTCGAAAGGATAAAAAGAAGAAGGATAAACGACCTCGTATACGAAAAGAAGACATTAGCAACCCTACGAATTTCCAGTGAGTTGCCCTTTTTTTATCACAAGCCAGTTTGTGATATTTCAAGCTTGGTTTAGCCTTGTGATTGTTGTGCAGAAATATATCAGCTTTTCAAATGGGTTTTCTTTCCCACTATCTATGATTGGGCGCTATCATGATCACTTCTACGTCTTCCTCGTGCTTGCGCCTCAATGTTGATCTTCATAACAGTTCGGCTTCGTGTTTACAGAGCAGATTATGGCTGCATCTCCGCGAAAGCATTTCTGGAAATTGGGAGAGGCTGTGAGGAGCAAATAAAAAGTTGGCTTTCTTGTGAAAGTGAATGCTAGTTTTCTGCTTCTGTACTTCCCCCAAAATTTTGTTGTCGGTAGCGGCATTCGTTTTAGCGTTGGAGGTAGTTAAGGATGCTGCTTCCAAGGACCTCACTTTGTATACTGAAGTTTCTAAGCAAAGGTTTTGTTTGAGTTTGTTAGAAGTCCACCAGCTTAGCAAAAACCAGCTACAAGGGTTCCAGTAAAGTTCACCTCGAATGAACTTTGCTGGAACCCTCGTGGCTAGTTTTTCTGTATAAGTAATTGTAAGAGTTTTGAGTGTCATCGATACACCTGTCGTCCATTGATCACATATAACTTGGTCTTGCCCTAAAACCTTCCAATCTTGTTATGCCTTTTAGTCTCATGTTAGAAAGGCAGTGCTAATCATTCCTCTCTTCCGGGGTATTCTGACCTCCTTCGTTAATTACAACTCTGCCGTGGACTAAATGCACTTTAGGAGTCTTGGTACCCATATGTACTGCAGCGTCCTGGTCGTTCCAAAGTTTAAGACCGTGGTTTGTCTTTATATTAAATGGAAAACCATTGGAAAAGCATTTCGCAGCGTCTGATGGCGCTGATCGCGTACTTATTTTGCGTATCCATACTCTAACAATAAGACTTCAAGGCTCAGATTGAGGAAGGGAAGGCTGCAGGATCGAATAGTTAGGGGCTCTATTTCCCTCTCTTCTTGACCACTTCCTCGGTGCTCTTAAGTCCTTCCTGCTCAGCAAACATATTTCATAATGTTGACTTACCGACCAAAATGCGCCCAGCTGGACTATGAAGGGTAGTTTCCCATGAAAGAAAAACCATCAGGAACAAGTCAGTGTCTCATGAATGTTTTCCACGAAGGTCTAACTGCAAACACCTCATATCTGCCATCAAGTATTACCAGCTCATTCTGAATTACTACCCTTGTAATACTCATAAAGAATCCTTTTATACCATAAGGCATACAACGGTTTATCATGGGTTCGATGACAGAATTTGCGAAGTAATGATTTTGCTTGAACAAAATTTTTTATTTACTTTTACTTTACTTAATTTGTATTTTTTTCTTAATTTTACCTATCTTACTTAATTTTTTTTTCAAAGTTATCAAGTTGAAACAATAGCGTTAATTTTCTATCGACACTTCCATACGTCGTGATCGATGTGATTGTCTCTGGCCTACCCTCTTCTATACCCTGCTTCCCTCGTTCATCTAGACTCCTACAAATCTACTTTGAAGATGAGTAGTGCAAAAACATTTGGAGAAACAACAGGCAAGTCAGAAAATGACGTCTAGGTTTCGCCTTTTCCTCCCTAATCTTACTACTTTTCCACTGAATGTTCCGCATCTTGACTGATCGCGAGGGAGAGGCACATGCAATGCATTAAGGAGTACTTGGTGGATTGTGTGTACATCTGTTGTCGTGGGGTTGTGTGCCGTATCTCAGAAATCAAGAACACGACAGAAAAACAGCCGGTCTCGCTTGCAGAACATTAAAGGTCTTTTTCTCAGTTTCCAGAACTCTGAAACTTTCTTTCTGCGCTGCCATTTAGCACAGAAAGAAAGTTGAGGGGTGAGATATAGTCATAGTAAACTCGATGAAACATACTAATAAAACATCAGAAGAGCAGCGACGCTGTCAAGGATTGTTTTATTTCGCTACGCTACCAACCACAAACTATCCACCAAATCTGCAAGCTTGTTGCAGAAAGGAAGGCTGCTGGAACGGAAATCATCGTTCCAGCAGCTGGAAGTTGTTCCGCGGTATTAGTTCGGGTAAGGGTGAAGACGGTCCTTTAGCTGTATCTACGCGTGAGATTCGCTACCAACAAGCTTGCTCAGACCTTAACATCATTTGTTTCAGGCATAAGGCACATGTTGGCTGGGACCAAGATAATGGGTTCTCAAATAATATGTGTGATTCGGAACCAATGGATGAGAGCATTCAGTAAGTTGTAGTTGTTTTCATTCAAAAAACAGTCGTATTAATGAAATTTGCAGGAACATTATTCGTGCCGCAGGTCAGGATCCAACCAGCATGAGCAAGAAAACGATCAAATTCGTTTACGACTTCATAGAGAACTACAAAGACAATAATGTGTAAGTATTTGCATAGCCCAGAACTCCAAGGAATAGCGGCTATTCCTCAAGTTGTTTGGAGACCGCTCGAAAAATGTGTTGATGTACAGAGAAAAGTTTAGGGCAGATCCTCTATATGAGATGTATGCAGGCACCTCTTTGTGTTGAAAGTGCACGGCATGGTTCTACATATAAAGGCCATGTTGAAATCGTTGTATTTTTGCAGTTCTTCTATACCTGCTCAACCTCATAAGCCTCCTGCCCCTATCGCACCGCAATGGAGTAGTCCTGCTGCTCCTCCTCCACCACCTTCACGGACAGCATCTTATCAACCTCCGACGCGCCCTCCACCTCCTCCACCGGCTATACCACCATCAGTGCGACCTCTAGGCAGACCACTGCCGCAGGTGTGCTTTATTGACAGTTTTTTCCACATTTCCAAAACGTATGTAAATTCTGTTCAAGAAATGCATAGAAAATGTTTGGTCTTGAATCTCTCTTATTAGCGCATACCTCACGTTTGTAATTGGATAAAATTGCCATCGCGTGAACCACAACGGTTGAGTCTGAACAAAAATGACAGATTCATTCCACAAATCACTGGTTTCCACGTCGCTTCATACTTGTCACAATATTTTATTTACTGACTTTTCGTTTTCATGACATAGTGATGATTAAGCAGTGAAAGAGTTGGTTTGTCAACGATTTTCGAAAAACCTTTGATCAAGCTTCAGATCATTATAGGTAAGTTAACAAATTCAGGTACCTGGCGGAGACGTTGGTCGCCCTGTTCCACCACCTCCGCCACCGCCGCCACCAGCTCCCCCACCTTCGCTTGGTCATACGAGTGCTCCACCACCTCCTCCGCCACCACCACCGCCGCCACCATCTTCCGGTAGTGCTTAGTTAAAATTGTCTTTGCAACCTACTGTTATTGATATTGTTCAGCATTAAAAATTGTAGCTTTTTTAGCTGTAGCACATTCGGCTCCGCCTGCTCCACCACCTCCTCCATCACTCTCCGCTGATTCCGGGAGGGGAAATCTTTTGGCGGTTTGTGCAGTTGCTATGTTACTACTCTGCACCCAAAATTGACCCATTTACTTTTACACTTGAAATGTATTTCAGGAAATCCAAGCTGGTAAGCAATTGCGCAGCGTTGCAGCGCACCCATCGCCTGCTTCTGGCGTAGAAAGACAAGGTTCTGGAGATGTGCGGGATAATGTAATGGCTCAAATACGGCAGGGCGCCCAACTCAAACATGTACGCTACAATTGGTGTTCCTATTTTATTATACACTCTTTGCTCACAAGAGAGGTTGCTCAGGTCGATACGGCAGCGGAACAGGAAAAGAGGAGGTCTGAAAATACATTAGCTGAAATGGGTGGCATAGCCGGTGCTCTTGCCAAGGCTTTAGAAGAGCGTCGAATGAATATGGCTTTAGATGACTCAAGCGAAGAAGAAGGTTTGCTTTTTAATTTTGCTTCACTATTGAAATACATCATCTTTAGGCAATTTAGTGAGATTCTTCGCTGTTTTTACTTATGGTGATGAGTTCTTGTCAGTGTCCTCCTGTCCTTGTGTTTGCCGAAATATTTCTCTCTTCAGAATCTGACGACAGAAACGAATGGTCTGACTAGAGGAGAGTCGTTACCAGGAGACCAATAAGTGAATAATGGGTTCATGCATAATTTTTGGTTTGGTTTTGTTTCGTCGTTGGAGATTCGAGAGCTTTTTACACATTCGGTGAACATAGATTGTCAGTTGCTTTTTACTCTATAATATTACTTTTGTGCATTAAGTATTCATTGCTGTGATAATATATTTTTTTGTGATTTGTTGAAATAGGTTTGGTTTTAGTGTCAACTCATTGATTTGCTTTCATCAGTTGTACCGTTTTGTAGATTTGTGTTGATACACTGAAAATTTTGCCTTGCTCAGCTGACGTCGTGCTAGTTGTACAACTTCTTTCTTGTCACTTGAATCGAACAAGCTTTACAAGCAAATTTTGAAATATACAGCGTAATAAAAAAATTAATGCATATGAATTGATATCGTTTCGATTACAGTAAGTTGGCAAACTGTGCACCAATATCTCTTATGAAGAAAAACCTTCCAAGATAATTTCCTCGAATGATTTATTCTTTGAATTATCTGTCCTAGGCATAATTGTGATTTTGATCGGCGGTCGCTCCCCTAGACGGCACTTCTATGCCTCTGTGCCAGTTCTGTGATATTCCTTTTGAAACTTCACTGGTAAGGTCGGGTTGTATGTTTGCAGAGTAGGTGGTTGGATTCTTAAGTCGGTATGGTGAACTTACCCGCAGTTTCAGCATAGTAGTTTTTTGGTCATAGTAAATTGTCAACAGAAAAAGTAATGCTAGAATGAGAGTTGAAAGAAGGCTCTAACTCATACACTTCTTAAACTTATTTATGAATGGTAATAAAACAGGAGGAGGTCGAATTCTTAAAGCAGCCATTCAGTTGTAAACAAGGGCCAAGCGCTGCCCCAATCGCTCGCGGGCGAAATCGTGGACTATTTAAGCAGCCAAGGCTTTACGCTTTTCGCGATCCATCTAGCAACCAGCGCGAAATATGAAGAACGTCAACGACCAATGTTTCCCGAACTATAAAAGCAGTTAGACACAGACTGTTTGAAATGTGCAAGAATGGAGTTACCTTGAATTGGAACATTACCTGAAACTCCCTCTGGCGATGAGCAAAATGAAACTTTTTACTCGAATTATTCGTTGAGTCTAGATTTTGAAAAGTGAGAGTCGTTACATTCCCTCATCTTCAATGTTTTATTGATTCATAGGGAATGCTATAGGAAAAGGGCTATGTTTGAGGAACGTTCGTTTCGTACCTGATCTCTTTACAAGACATGAAGTAGTATAGCCGAGTGTATAGGTGTCTGGGTATCTTAATGCCAAATAAATCCAGTAATGGTTTAGGAAAGTTGTTTTTCGTGGTTGCGGATAGCAAGTTAAGTTAAAATACTGTGGAAAACTTTCAAATTATCATTACTTGCTTCCCTTGCTAGCATTACAGTTCCTTCGCTGCTGTTGATTGATAGCATCAGTTGTTTACTGTTTTGTTTCTGTAGCGCAACAATACTTTGATCCTGTACAAGGCATGTAGACTTGTGAGTGCATAGGTATGTCTTTGTCATAGACACATTTGCTCAGAGAGCAGACCGCTTAATTTTAGCTACAATCGGGGCTCAGAGTCGTCCTGAATTTCTCTTTCTTTTGCTTATAAATAAATAAAGATTAAGAGGGGGGGGGGGGGTTAAAGGGCTGCTTCGGTTTCAAGTAAAGCCATGGGACTGAATGTTGTGTGCATGATTCTTACAGCGAGAAGATTAAGAAAGTTATTCAGCTGAACGCGATATGCTGCAACCGACTAGGGCCCGGAAAACATAGAAGGACTCCCAAGCCTATGTACCTAACATACATCGACGAAATTAGTTTTAGGAGTTGGAGGTTCACGAGCTTTCGCTCAGTCATCACATCAAGCTTGAAGCTGTGGCACCGACTAGCCACTTCTGTCCTCCGTGTAATATAACGTGTCCATCGCTTGGAGCGTATTCGAAGGTATACATGGTTTCATCTATAAAACAGTGTTCAGGTGGTAGACAGGCTTGCATTCTCAGTGTGGGAACTTTTTGCTTTATTGTTACTAAGCTCGTGCTTTTAAGCACGTTGATACCTTGGAGCATCGTAAAAGACGTGATCGGATGAGAGCAATCATCGACACGATGGATGCAGGAACTGATCCAAATGTACTCCTTCTCCATAATTTCCAGAATCGAACCCATTTGCATGTTTTTTTATTGTTATATCTAGTTATATATGTGTGTATTTTTTGTTTATTTGTTTATGTATTCATTTTATTTTGTATGAGCATCTATCTTCTGTTTAATTTTTTTATTATTGCACTATTTCTACTAGATCTTTGAATAGTTATACTTCTCTTACGTTACCTTTTATTCTTCATATTTTCCCCCATTAATTTTCAGAATGGAAGTCAAGTATCACGACAAACTCAAAGATGTGGTGGTCATCCTTCCAGCTACCTTGAGCCAACGTTGCCCTTTATCCGTAATGGACCGAACAGGTTAATAGAATTAGCCACACTTTTCTTTTTATCTTGAAAATAACACCGGGGAGGTGGAAATGAATGTCAACAAGAAATCTGTTTTAATTTGTACCACTTTTTCTAATTTATTAATTCACGTATTTGTCTTCTCCATAACTAACAGAACAAGAGGGATTCCGTTGAGCGTCAACCCACGTTAGGCCAATTTTCATCCTTTGTTTTTTGTTCTTGGAATAGAGCGGTCAGAGGAGCGTTTGAAATTCTAAACCCTTTAAGCGGTTTAATAATTAACTTCTCCCTTTCAGGAGAACGTATCCAGCTCTTCATCGTGGATTACGGCGTTTCAACTCGCAAGCTCACCTTCAAGAAGAGCTCTCTCAGTTCCAATGTAGTGATCATCCGGAAAATTTTCGGGATGAAATCTACTTCTATTCCCAGGTAGGCATAGACGCTTTGTGCTAGCTTTAGCTTGTTTTGCTGATTGTGATTTCTTACTTTTGTTTTGTAAGAGCAATAGTTTTAGCGTGCCGAAATGGGCAACAATCATGCCACTCATGTAGATTATGATCTTGCCTGGAATAATCACATTCCCAATTCCATTCTTCCTCCACATTATGATGGAGAGTTCCGCCCCTATTTCATGAGCAAGGGTGATTCGTGCGGGACAGACACTGCTCGAAGGTATTGTCGATTTTGAACTCTCAACCATAGATATTGCCTTGGACCAACTCCAAAAAAATGCACTAATTTTGCTGTGCTTAACGGTTGGATAAATGCTCTTACAGGGGAAATTGTTGCGAAAGNGAAGACGTCTCTCAGCCCTCTGGTGGTTCTTCTCGCACGGCCGGACAGAATGATGGAAAAAAGGATCGCAATGTTCCCCTTCTAAAAAGAGGCCTTTTAGCCAGATTATCTCTTAAAGCAAAGAAGGATAAGGTTAATTTGAGCAGGAGTTTACCGTTTAATCTTGATTCCTGTAACATTTATGGTTTTTGCTCAGTTGCTTCGGTTTTTAGGGAACTGCATCGAAAAATTCCACTGATAATGGAGGATCTGAGAAGAGTGATAGAAAAACGAAGAAAAAGAAGTCTAAGAGTCAGTCTCCATCCACTTCTTCGAGATGTAACGCGAAATCTACAGGTAAACGACCTCCTCTTTCTTGGTGTGTGCCGATTCGTGCGATTCTGGGTGCTCGCGGCAAATTGCGCAGCGAAATTCGGTGCGATTCGAACGATTCTGTCGCCTATTTTTGGGCACAAACTTGAAGTTGAATAGTTGGGTATGGTCAGCTGATCCTACTAATCTACTCTACTTCAAGTTTGTGCTCCAATAGTAGGCATCAAAGTCGTTCGAATCATCACAAATTCCGCCGCGCAATTTGCCGCGCGCGCCCAGAGTCTCACGAATCGTGCGTCCCCCGCCCCCCTTTCCAGTGGCTACGTTCGTACTCCGCGCCTTAAAGTAAAATGTGACGACAGCGGTCACCGGCGGCCCGGTCGTCAATCGATATATACGAGTCGATGATTGGTGTTGCCTAATGATTTTAAAAAAAATTGTCTTTCCCTTGCTCCTTTTTTGATTCACATTTGTTGCTTAGTGCTGAGTGCGGTTTTCACTGAATGTGAATGTTTCACTGTTACTTTTTGATATCCCTATGGTTTCGGTTAGATTTACTAACATACGCGTGCAAATGTCATTCAAAATGCGATTCATTCAAAGTACAGTTCCAATATTTCAAATTTCCTGTTGTAGGATCTTGGTTGAACATTCCTTTTTGTCCAAACTATTTATGCTACATATTCGAAATCATCATTGAAACAACATGCCTTAACTTTGCTCAAAATGCTTGGCACAAGAACGTGCCGTTTTCCCTCTCCCACCAACCAGAAATTTACGAAATTATTAGATTCAACACCACTTGTCGCCCCGTGGTTTGATACCTTCATCAGCGGCTGCTTTCAGAGTCCGCCGGCAGGCCCCGCGAGTGAGCGAGCGCGCGCGTGCCGGCCGCCGGTGGTGCTAGCCAATTGTTGGAAGCACTGGACGCCGATGGATCACATGTCAGTGTTGTGAACAAGTGGCTAGCGCCGCCGCCGGCACGCGCGCGCGGCCGGCCGGCGGACTATGAAAGCTGCCGGCCTCTGCAATCCGCCACCCGCTGCTCATAAGCCACTGTCGCAAGCCGCTCACTGCTAGCAGCTTTTATCGAAATCATCAGTTTCATCCATGTCAAAGGCTTATTCAGACGTTCATTGACGTAATATTGCTTTCTATTATTCAGCTTCTGCCAGTGGAAGTGTGCAACTCAGACGTGCTGCTCCTCTGAGCGTCTCAATGAAGGACAAAACTAAAAAGTAAGGCCTAAGTTCTTCAGATGATTGTGGACTATAGTTGTGGAAAATATCTCTACGGTTCAATGTGGTAGTGTAAAAGATGAAGGATTCGGTGCCTCTAAAGCACGAGAACGGGTTCGAGTCCCGTCCGAGACCAAAGTTTTGCAACAAAATCGTCATCTTTGTGAGACTTTCGCATCGCGTACTGCGGCGATATAACAGCAGTTAACAAAACACAAGTCAAAACTTCTTTTGAAAGTGTGTCTTAACAAAGTAAATGTTTTTTGAGTAAAATAAATAATTTCCATAACAGCAACGAGCTTACACACTAGAGATATTGTCAAAAGATTGGAAATAGCAATTGTATTTGGATAGATTTTGTACCAAAAACCTTTGATTCTAGATGGGAACTTGTGGCAGTGAAAGGAAAAGCATCGTACCTGAAAAACCGAAGTCAGCGTCTTTTGAAAGATCGAATGAGCAAGTATCGACTTGTTGATAGTAAAGGGTCCGTTGGACTTTTCTACGAGACTATGCTTTCCATTGAATTACTCCTTCCATTGAATTGATTCAAGGATGGTGGTGGAAGACATGCACGAGGATGAGCCATGCACATCCTCGATTGCAGCTTGCAGACCTCAGACATCTAAAAATGGATCTACGTTACCCAGTCTTACGTCGCATATATGGGGAACCGGTCCGGAAGCAAGATCGCGATCGCAGCAGAAGGGTCCTCTGGAGAAACCTTTGAATGCGTACGTTCCCAAACAACTCATTCAGCGATAAACTCTCGTAATCTCATGACCGAATTTTTAGCTTTCCACTAGAAGTTTTGAGTTATTTTGTCTGCAACCTAGGGTTAAATCCCTCATTTCGTTGCAGATCGTTAGCCCCATCTGCAATTGCTCCGGCTGCTCCTCGCACCCCATGTCTTCGAGGTGATCAACCTACTCGGGCAGGAAATACGGGTTGGAATGATACAAGTAGCGGATATGCGACCATGGTTGGAGACTTGCCGATGAGCACTCCCAAAAACTACGACGTCGCGGTTCGTGCTTACGAAAATTGTCAAGGACTTCCCATTCCTGATACCGTTGACTCAGTGAGTCATCAGCAGTAATCAGTACAGTCCGCTTATCATTATCCCCTCGATCTGGCCTCAGAAGAAGGTAGTTTCAGGTTCTGAATGAAGTTAGTAGGAAAACTCAAAGTCTTTCAAAAAATGCGGACAATGGTGTGAATTTTTCCAATTCTCTAAACGACTCGTCAATCTCTTCAGGTACACTATCGTAACTGGTTACAGTTTATTTAGCTAGTTGTGTTTGTTTCATGGCTATTTTCATCCTGTGTACTACTTACCGCGTTTGCTCTTACTTTCAGGTTTTTACTAAAATGAGCTGAAAATAGGTGTGTTAAAGTGTAGAATGAGATCAAGATGAGATAGAAGGACTGAGTTTCACAGAGTCCATTCGGAAAGACAAATTACTGGAAAAGGAACCATTCAACTTCACCGGTCGTTTAGCTGTAAAACGTATCAGAGCTGTACTCTAGGTTCCCGGCTTGAAGTTAATCGCATGTCATCATTTTCCGCTCTCTTCAACGATTATTGCGACATGAACTACAACACTGGCGAAATGAGAGAACGTAGTTGCACGCATAATGAATGGATCCAATTCCAATTAACATGCAGATCGCTGAGTAATAACAGTCACCTGAAGTTGACGATAAGGGTTGTGAAAATGAGGGATGTTACGCTCTATTGAGGGCCGTATTGTTAGAAAAAGGAACATGATTGCAGGGGTATCTTCTATTTAAGGTCAAATTAATAACCCAACACATTTATATAGTCACATGTGCGACGAAAGTTGTTGTTCTTTTTGACTGCGGCCCCATTTTGTGATGAAACTACTTCGCTAGCACGGCTGCTGAGCAAAAGTGTTGCACCTGTCATGGAAATTGTGAAACTTAATTCTCATTGAGAAGAAAACAATAAAGTTTTTATAATTTTCAGTCAACTCATCTTTGGCTGTGGATAGTCATTCTCTGGGGAGTCGCATGGACCTGACTGCGCTTCCCAATGTGACGCAAGTCTCGGACGTTGGTGTGAAGGTTAGAATATGAATTTATTGATATTTGTCAGTACCACTGTGACTATGACGCATGTTTTTCACCGCAGCGTGACGAGGTACGAAAACGACGAAAACTGAAACTCGTTAGGAGTATAAATGTTGCACCTATCATGGAAGTTGTACCCAGTTTGGCAATATTTTCGTTTTTATTGTTTCATTGATCTGAATCATTTCTGATTCATTCAATTTCGATGCGGCTGGCTCTCTATCGCATTGTCCAGAATCCATACGATTTCAATAGAGCAATACCTGGCTTGACCCAGGTCCTGTACCAAGGAAATCATTGTTATAAAGCTGAGTTTTAGGAAGAGCCTGGAGAAAGCCCTCCTCCCGATGCCCTACCGAGTCCACCACAGTTCGACCAGACCGTAGTACGTGCTCACTATTTTACAGCTTTCCGAAACGTCTTCAGATGAAGTGTAGTTGAAGTAATGTGATTAAATGAATTTCAGAATACTTGTCAGAAAGATGCTATGGGAAAAATTGTTGGAGAAAAGGTACTATAGTATTTTTTTTTGTAATTGGGTTATAATTGCTATAATACAATATAATAATTGCTACAGTAATATAATCGCACAAAGGTATAATTGCTAAGCTTTAAGGAACGTGAAGAGTTCTGGACGCTTGGCATAGCTGAAATGAAGAAAGGTCACGAAATAATCGAAGCACGAGCAAAAATTGAAGCCCTTCAGAAGCAGCTGTTCGACGCCACAACTATTCTTCAACAGGTAAAAAGTGTATAAATAATGCTGAGTCAATGAGCTATGGTCTGGCTAAGATTGGCTTTAAGTGGAAGTTGCTCTCGGCTTTTTATCTAAAGCTCTTCCTTATGGTGGTTTATGAATTTCAAAGTACTTCACATTTCATGGCGCGAAAATTTCTGAAGAATTGAGAAGATCCTAGGACGCACTGCGGTACGTCATCCATTTGAGAAAATCTGTAACACCTCGAAGCCCTTTGATTTCCTCAGCTCTGCTCCTGATTTTCGGAAGACTTCACGGGTTTCTTCGAAAGATCAGCCTGACGAGGCCTCGATCTCACAGGCCAGGCACTCGGATCACCCAGCCGATAAGCAAAAATGACTTCTTTCACAAACTTGAACATCAACCAAACAGTATGTATACAAAGCACACGCATTTTGTCGTTCTCTCTTGTTATTCACTAATGACCCGAATCCCCCATATGGCACAGAAGAGCCATGTGGAGTCATCCTTGTGATGGGTGGGGCCTCGCAACTCGCAGAGCTTCCAACGAGAGGGAAGGGCCTGAGTTGTGCACAGACATGGGCTAGGCTGCTTTCTGCATAAACTCAAAACCAATTCCACCAAGTCTATAGGCCAGATTATTGGTGGAAGGAACTGTCGAAAACATAAGTTGGTTCTGAATTTCTAGGCATCGTAATGCTCATTCCTGTCATGAACCAGGTGCTGGTTTAGGATGGACTCCACCTTGTAGTGTTCGTTCTTGTGGGATTTTGTTTTAAGCTTGTGTCTGTCTTCTGCAACACCCCCTCTTCATCTCTGTAATAAATCTTGTTTCAGTTGGAAGTTGAGATGAACGAAATTCTTCGACGAAAATCTGAGCTTCTTGGACTGCCACCTCCCAGCACGTTCGTGTAATTTTGTAATATAATTTTATTAGTCGTGATCACTTGTTTGTTAATCTGTATAGTGGCATCCAAAGAATATCATTGCTTTGATATTGTTTATGAATTCTGCAACTTTACAAATTTCTGCATTTCTTCTTGTCTAATGCATCGGGTTGGCCAAGCGACTATCTTAAGCGTCCTGGCATTCTTATTTCTGTGAGCTGCTTGTGAAATTTATATATCTGAGGTTTGTTTCAACNCCAAGACCTTTTCGATTCCTTTCATTATTCTATATCACTATATAACTAGTCAAAAAGTATGCTGGAAATAGTATCTGCCATCTTTGGAAGGGCATTTCAAACTACTTGCATTATACTGTTTACTGAGATCATGAACTGTTGCCTATTTGAGTCGGATGTTGTTTTGCCTCTAAGAGTGACTTGTACTTGTGTATAAATTGAGAGTCTGATCATGGTAAACCAGAACCGTTCAAGACCAAAATGTATTCTTATGATGGATATTGAAGAGCAATTTCTTATGATGTATATCCTTTCAATGATTATCCCAGTGACAATCAGGTCAATGTGGATGTATTCTTACTTCTTGAAGTATCAGTAAATTTTTAAACTTGGTCCATGTATTCACACAAAAGTTCAAGTCGATATTTATCCATTTGCTCTGCTTTATTGAATGAAGAAAAAAGTGCCAGTTCGCGAGAGAGCATCTTTGTAGACGTCAGCGTTCCGTATTCAAGACTTTGAACTGCAAGCATTTTGTTGTCGAAGCTGCGCTAGTACTTGGAAGAAGTCTGCTTATCGAACTTCGGAATGGCTTTCGTTCTTGAATCAGGTATTTTTGATTCTGA